GTGTCCCCTGCATCGGCAGGCGGACTCTCAACCACTGCGCCACCAGGGAAGCCAGGTCCATTAACTTTTGATCTGAATCCTTAGTTGACCTCCTCTTCCTTCTCTATTTCTCAGAGAATGGGCCTTAGAGGTGTAGACTAAAAGGAGTGAGGCTATTTTTGTCCTGCTATAATAATTAGAGAAGTAAAAGGTAGGAGTGAAAAAGAGGTAGAAATGCAGAAGCTGAGCAGCTGTTTTTCGGTGGAGTTTGGAGAAGGGAGATGGTAGGCAGAAGTCCAAAGCTTGAATCTGTGTTGTTTTTGTATATCTGTGGGCACAGACTTATAAATACCTTTCCCATGCCCCATCTCCACAAAGAAAAATGTGTTTATTTTCCCTCTATACACACTCCTCATAATGAGGACACACATTTTATATCTTAATTTCACCTATATAAACAAATTTTAGGAGATAGTAACTTGCCAAAACTGTTGCCCTGAGCAATTATTTTACTATCGCATCCCATCTATAGACACCAATAGAAACAAAATGTTATCCTAAAATTTGCATCTGTGCTTTGGTTTAGGCAGAACATGATTGCTTGAGGTTTTAGTGGTTTGGGAGAGGATATTCTCCCACCAGAAGGTTTAGTTTTACCTTATTATATGATCTTAAAGTACACTGTTATCTCCCAACTCCTAGCAAAATAGTAAGGGATTGATATGTTGCATTTACCACATCTGAGCCTAGTTACATCTCAGGACACTGTGACCTTCTTAAAGGTGGGTCCATTAGTTATACAGTATCACCGCTTCTTTGAGTGAGAGTGGCCTCTGCCCTGGGCTTCACAATTTAGAAGTTCTGCTCTGACCCTTTCCCATACTCCTCCCCACATGGAATGAGAAGTCCATAGGGCCAAGAACATACCTACATAGATCCCTTCTGGTATGTGCTTGGATACCTGAGATTCAGAATTCCCTGCCCACATGGTCTCAAGTGTATTGCCAGGGTTTGCATGGATCTTTTCCTTCAGTCTGTACTTTTAAGGGAAGATCATATCTCTGATAGCCAGACCTAAGGGATTGCCAGATGGCAGCTGTTGGTGAGTGTGTGTGGACATTGCCTTTATAAGCCTGTCAGGGTGTCCACACTCCTGCATGTGAGACCCATTGAAATACAGGATGGAGCTGTGGTTTGGTAGATCAGGGAGGTTTGCTGAGGGCCAGGGACTGGCTCTCCTCGTGTCACTACTTTCCAGTGTAGACTGAGGAGTCTTAAGAATTCTAAATTTGAATCTGCTTTCCTGGCTACTATGGTGTGTTTGTTAAGGTAGGAGAATCGAACATATATAACAATATATTAGCTTAATGTAAAATACAGTAATTTAGTCATGTGATATATATCCAATTTGTGCTATTGGTCCAGACCCTGCAATGCTTAGTGGTAGACTTGCTATTGAGTGCCCCTTAATGCCTTCCTAGTGCTTACTGCAGTGCTTGGCACGTGATGGATGCTAATAAATGAGTGAAATTGTGACCTCAGAATGCCCCACTGTGGCAGAATATCAAAAGATCAGAAGTATCAACAGCTTTTTTTTTTTTTTTTGCGGTACGCGGGCCTCTCGCTGTTGTGGCCTCTCCCGTTGCGGAGCCTGACGCGCAGGCTCAGCGGCCATGGCTCACGGGCCTAGCCGCTCCGCGAACAGCCACTTTTTATTAGCCTTATAATTTATAGTTCAAGGGAAATCTATTCATAATTGAATTTCAGAATGACAGTGGTAGAACTTCTAAAGAAGCACAGTTTAAATCCAGGCTTTCTTATTTGTTCTTTACAGGATTTACTTATCATTTATGGACTCCACATTATTCATGTTATTCTCATACCACATTATATGGTAGCTTGCAGATACGTTAGTTAATAACATAAACTAACTTTTTTACTCTTCATATAATGCTGAAATTTGCCTGAGATTTTTTTTGATCCCTGCTTGGTTGACTATATCTAAATGGTGCCCTGGTTATTCCTTTTAACAGGAAGCAGTAACTCCCATTTATTGAGCGTTTACTTTGTGCCAGGGATTACATGAAGTGGTTAACATTACAGTATCACATTTAGTCCCCATAATAATCTTATGAGGTAATTTACCCTAATATTATTACAGATGTAAAATATAATATCAGAAGTGGTTAAGTGATTTGCGTAAGACACAGAGGTAGGGAATAGAAAAAATTTTCTTGAAAAAAAGATTTGTCTTTTATTTACTTTAAAAGCTAATTTCCAACAAATGTTAATGGAAATCTGTTTTGGAATGAGATGTAAATAATGTTTCTACTATTTCTTCTGCCTTTGTCATACATAGGAATTCAACCTTATTGACAGAAGAGAACTTGCACCACTCCAGGAACTGATTGAAAAACTCACCTCAAAGGACAGATAAAAGGATGCAGATGTGTGCAAATTATTCCTCAAATGAAGCTGTGTGGAGTGCATTTGGATTTTGTTTTATTTTATTTTTGTCTTGGTTGTTTTTATGTTAGGTTTGGGGGGCTTGTTTGGGTTCCTTTTTCTTTATTCTGAATAAATGAAACCATATACTATGGCTAGAGGAAGGCAAGAACCATTCTCTATTCAGTTGATAGGGGTAAATTTTGTCTTAGTGGCATACAGTATTTTTTCTAACTTGGGGAATTTTTGATAATACTATATGTTGAAAGAAATGCTTATTGATTGGACTGCTGATGGATGGCGGTTCTCCATTGTGTAAATTGTAGTTGATTTTTGAAGTCCCCAAAAGTCTTGTTTTTAAGTGCCTTGGCAGGCTCATTTCTGAGGTGCAAAGCACAGACATAGAACTGAACAGGGCTTGAAACAATATTAGGATTACTACCCAGGGCACTTACTGATGCATGTTTCAAAATACCTATTGATAAAAGCCATAGTTTACCTAAATTGGTGATCTCCAGCTTTTACTACATTAAAGAAACACAGTTTGTAAAGGTGTGCATGTAGAGCATAAAAAATTAGTATTTCTTAATTATTTTTGATATTGATAGTAATTCTGTTCAACAGATGCTTAAAGTTCTACAAGCAGGTCTTTTCCATCTCTTGATATCTGTGATATTGAAACTTGAAGATGTTGAAATGTAATACCGATTACATTTTGGCTTCTTTCTACATGTTAACTGCACTGTAGGTGTAAAAATTCAGGTTATATATAGGTTTGCCATCTTCAGAGATGATGCTGAACTGTGAGGTTTCTTAGCAATTGCCAAATGAGCCATAAATCTGCAGAATCCCCTTCTGCTTTGAAGAGGAGGTGATAGCAGTGTGTGTTTGTTTGCAGGGGGGTTAGTTTGAATGGTGCGTTATAGATGGGATTAAGTACAGGGAGTCAAGTTCAAGAAAGTCCTTTCTCAAAACTCTTGAATAGAATGGCATGAATATTTTAATCAATATCTTGTAAGCAAAGTCTTAGAGACTTCCTTTTAGGAATCAACTTCCATGAGAAGTTAAAAATAAATTACTAATTTTAGATATAGACATAAACATGGAATTTAAGGACTTTGGGGAAATTGATCACTTTACAGCATTTCCATTCAGTGAATGGAGCTGGTGTTTGTCATTTTAAAATGATACAGTACCTTCTTTACTTGTTATAGGCCCAACTTGAAGCATTCTGACTTCTGATTTTTCCACTGTGAAAGGAAATCTTTCTTTGCAGTGATATCAGATAATGAAAGTGCTAAAGTAGTAGTTATTAACTTTTACATTTTTTTTTTTTTTGCTATGACTTTCTGGTGAACTATTCCCATAAGTAAAAAGTTCAGAAACTTAGTTTTTTTTTTGTTTGTTTTTTTTTGGCGGTACGCGGACCTCTCACTGTTGTGGCCTCTCCTGTTGCGGAGCACAGGATCTGGACATGCAGGCTCAGCGGCCATGGCTCACGGGCCCAGCTGCTCTGTGGCACGTGGGATCTTCCCGGACCGGGGCACGAACCCATGTCCCCTGCATCGGCAGGCGGACTCTCAACCACTGCGCCACCAGGGAAGCCCCCAGAAACTTAGTTTTTAAAATAAATGTTAACATTTTTCACTTTAGTTTTACTCTTGCAAAATATCCTTTTTAGACTTCCAGTTTTAATTTTGTCATTTCTGGTAAATCTGTTTCCTTCAGTTAGAAATATATACTCTTCCTTTGTTAGGAATATATACCTTTTTCCTTGTAGAATAGAAATCTTACTCTGAAACTGTATAGACTAAAAACAGAAAAGAATCTAAAATGAAATCAGTTTGTTTTTGCCATTAACAAGTAGAATAGTGATACAATTTACTGCCATTACAATTATGATCAGTAGGAACTGCCTTTTTCTCATTTCTAGCAATCATTCTCCAAGTACCAACAGTAGAAAGTAACAGAAGAGCCTGGCAGAGGCAAATATATTGGACATTCATTGGTCATACTTATTTATAAACTGCAATGAGAACTATCTGATTTCCTTAAAACAAATCTTTTAGTATCCAAATATATAATATCAGCCACTGTGGGTTGATTCAGAAACAAAATCTGGCATCTAGTGATTTGGGGTCCCATCTATTTAGGAAGATGAAACATATGATTATTCAAATAGTCTTCCAATACTGCATTTGACTTCATATCAACCTAGTAATAAAGGGGTTGCAATAGCCAAGTGTGGAGAGACAAGTGAAACATTGTTTTTGCTCATTTAAGCCTTATACAGTAGTACACTGTACAAATGTTATTATAAATTAATGTTTAGTAGTCGGACTTACTTTTCCACTCTATGTAGATAGGAGTTTCTTATCACTGTGCCAGAATCTCAGGTGCCTGCTTCTGAGTATTCCTTTAAACAGAGGTATTGGGAAGTAAGGAAACATGTGTATATATATGGTAACAAAGTAGAGACATTCTCCCAGGGAGAGGCCTGGCATTGTGCATGGTGTTACATGGCTGCAAATAGGGAAACACCAGAGCATGTGAGAAATAACTGACTTAATAAAAAGCTGCTTTGATTCATTTGGTTCCCAGGAGCATTAGTAAGATGCCTTTTATAAAATAAGGATCAAATCTTGGTTTTACAACATAGTTTTCTTATAAATGTCTATTGGATTCTTCCCAGATTTCTTTATTTGTAAATAACCAGGATAATGATTTCCCCCCTGCTCTTCATACAGAGATATAAAGCAGAAGTTGGTTTTCTCATCTGCTGATGAAAGCATAAAATATAAAGCAGTAAGTTAACATGGTATTGTCACAAAGCTTTGGTTAAATGTTGATAGGAAGCAAGTTTTAGTAATTCTTTTAAATGACGGTGTAATGGTGGTGGAGAGAAATTAATAACAGAGTGAAAATCTTTCCATTAGCTGTAGGTGGTGCTACTGGCTTGATTATTCTGTTTCCCATAAAAACCATGGCACTAGGCTGCACTAAAACATTAAGTATGTGTTAGCTGGTAGAGGCTTTGGAGGTCAGTTTACCTTAAATTGAAAGATTTTAGATTGCTATCTCTTCCTACCTTTGTCATTTTTAAATGCTAAATGTTCAGCATAAAATTAAGTAGGAAAAGATATGTTTAGTGTATAATATGTCGCAGACTGAGTTACTGCCTGGCTTATCAGGAAAGATAAAGCACTACAATCTCTTATATTCAGGAATTACAGATAATGTGGATATTTATATTTTACATGTAAGCACCACACTGCATTTTATGTATTAGCATTTTCCTTGCTTAGGGGAAAATAGCAAAATGACAGATTTCTTTTATACCTTCGTGTACACCCTCTCTGAGAGAGTTTTTGATAACCACTGAAATGGTAAAATATGTGAGATAAAATTATTAAGTTGTAGGACTTCCTTTTAAGATAAATGTGTCATACCTTGAACATCTCAAATGAGAGTTGATCTTCAGAGTAGTTTCTTTGGGAGCACTACTTATTCCAGCTATGCTGCAAAGGTGTAATGTTTCTAGAACACTTTCAGCAATGCCTTGAGAATTGGTTTGTGACTATGCAAGAAAATCTGTTTTATCATTTCAGTTGCACCGAAAACTTTTCTGGAAGCTTAATATGACCTATCTCATTCACCAAAACAACTCTACTTTGGCTGTTTTCTTAGAACTAAACTATTAAGGAAGTTCAAAAGAATATGCCATAGGCTCTGAATTTGCAGAAGAGAATGTTTTGAGCACTGATTTGTAACATCATTTAATAAAAAAATAGTTTCCTGATGTCACTGCTTTGAAGTAGGCAGTATTGTTTGGATGTACAAGTTTTTTTTTTTTTTTTAATTTAGTTTAATTACCTTACAGTTAAATATAACAGTTTTAAAAACCAAAGTCTTTTTCTTATTTTCTATTTTTGGTCCATTTTCCTGATAACTTTTGGATTATATCTTGAGTACTGTAGGGTAGTTTTGATTGAAGGTATATTAAAAAAAAATGGGTCCAATATTTAAGATAGAAGTAGCTTAAGGAAGCCGCAGCCTTTACCTCCATGCTTTTTTTTTTTTAAACTTATTTTCACGCAAATGAACAATTTGAATTTAAAGACTGGAGATCATTGTAAAAAGAAATTGGAATACAGTTTATATATTAATTATGCTGAATTTAAGTCTGTGTGTCACAGTAAAATATTTCAAATTGTATAATCATTTCATATGTGATTTATAACTTTAACATTTTGAATGTCTTTTTAAAAGATATGAGACAAGAAGTATATTTGAAAATGTCACTGCATACCAAGAGGAAAACTTAACTTATTTTGAAACTTATCTGGGATATTAAAGAATATACCAATTCCTAGAAACACTGTTCTAGATCTGTACGGACTGCTCCTAAAATGATTTAAATATCAGCATTTTGTCATAATATTAAGTTTCACCATAGGAATTACAGTTGTTGAGCTGTCAGTTTAATGGTATATGAGATAACTGTTTAGAGCTGAAGCTATTTCATGATTTAATGGAAAATTTTAATTTTAAGATATAATAACAATTCTGACTGCAGACAATTTGAATTTTTGAGGCTCTCCTAATGGGCTAATTATAGAGAAAAATTCATTTTGAAGGTACAAAACTGTGCTCCATGTCTGCCACTTGTAGCTGAACTGATACTTAAATTTTGACAAAAGAGAGAAAATACAGATTAAAATACTGAGTACTCTCAGTTTTGCAAGTGTGATACAAATTTCCTTTTCTGCATATAATACTACACAATAGAAAAATTTGGATTAGAATCCTCAAAGATAGTGAAATCACTGGCCTTTCCAAGCTTATGTTTACTTGTCATCTCCTTCTCCTTGGAGGTAAATTACTTCCTTACTGGTGTTGACTTTCCATATACTCCTCTCTCCCCTATCTCACAACACACACAGACACACACACACACACAGACGAAAAACAAAATAGATTGATTATATAGGT